TCCGCCGGAGGAGGAGGACGCCGACGCGGGAGCCCAGGAGGGGCGCGGCGATCTGATGGCCGCCGCCATGCAGCACGAGGACCAGGAGCTTGTCGAGCAGGCGCTCGCGGAGGGCGGGATGGAGGGTCTCGCGCTGCTGCTGGGCGGCGACAAGGCGCCGCTCGCGTCTGGCGGCGACTTTGACTTTGTCGACACCGAGGCGGGCTCCACGACGGGCTACGCGCCGGTCTATAAGCTGGAGGACGGCAGCCGCGTGGCGATCGCACAGTCCGTCACCTACGACCTGCGCGACCCGCGCCTCGCCGCCTTCAACCTGCTCGAGTACATCAGCTGCCTCCGCCTCAAGAAGCTGGAAAAGGGGCAGGATCGCCGCCGCGGCGGCGGCAGCGGCGGCGGCGGCGGCGGCGATGGCGGCGACGGGGACGACGAGGAGGAGGCGGAGGCGGAGGAGCCCGCCGCCGCTCCGCAGGCGCGTGCGGGGGGCGCGGGTCGGCACGGCAACGAGCTCTTTCGGCTGCTGGACGAGCACGCGCTCTCCACGACGCACCGGCTGCTGGCGCGCTCCAAGTTTCTGATGCCCGTCCTGGCGGGCAAGCCTCCGCCGAGGGCGCCGCCCGAGCTCGGTGGCCGGCAGCCCACGCGGTCCTGGAACAAGCAGGCGCGCGTCTTTGCCGAGTAACGCAATCATCATCTCGTCGGTGAGAGAGATAGCCGGGAGGTAGCCGGGGCGTAGCCGGGGCGTAGCGCAAGCCGTGCGCAAGCGAGGTGCAGCGTCCTCGGCCGTCCTCGGCCTGATGATTGCGTCCTCGGCCTGCGTCCACCCGATCCGCTCCGGCTTTGCTCCGCCCTCCTCCCCGCTCGCAGACGCACGCCGCCGCACGGGCGGCGCAGCCGGGCTGCCTGCGTCGCCTAAGGAGAAGGTTCCGGGAAGGCTCCGGGAAGGCTCCCCGGCGGTGCCTGCTGCTGCCTCCGTCGCCACCCGTGACGCCCGTGTCGCCCGCCGCGTTGCGGCCCGAGGCGCCGCCCTTGCTCAGCCCGGCCTTTGGCTCGCCCTCCTCTCCGCCCTTGAGCCGCGACCAGCGGTTGCGCACCTGTTCACAGCTGGAGGCGTGAAGAGGCGCCGTTCACGGCTGCAGCTCGAGCCGCGACCAGCGGTTGCGCACCGCGTCGTCCGAGCGGCCCTGCAGCTGCGAGGCGATGCGCCGCCAGCGGTAGCCGTACTGCCGCACCCCGTCCTTGATGATCTCGTCCTCCTCCGCCGTCCACTCACGCCTAAGGGGAAGGCTCCTAGAAGGCTCCTAGAAGGCTCCTTGATGATCTCGTCCTCCTCCGCCGTCCGCTCGCGCCGCTCGAGCGCGTTGCGCGGCCGCGACCGCTCCGACCCACCGCCGCCGCCGCCGCCGCCGCCGCCGCCCGCGCCGGGCTGGCGAGGCGGCGGCGCGGGCGACGGCGACGGCTCCGCCGCCGGCTCCGCGGCGCCGGCCGGCTCCGCGGCTTGCGGCGGGTCGGGGAGGGAGGGTTGGAGTTTATCCTCTCTCTTTTTTCTTCCCCCTTCTCCCTCTTTTTTCTTTCCCTCCTCCTTCCCCTTCCTTTCTTTTTTTTCCCTTTTCCCCTTCCCTCCTTTTTTTCTTCCCTTTTTTCCCTTCCCCTTTTTCCCTTCC